CGGAGGAGGTGGGCCGGGTGGACGGTGACTTCCTGGAGGCGGTGAAGCGGCACATCTTGAACCGCTTGCAGATGCGCAGCCGGCCCAACATCACGCACGCCGTGCCCAAGGCCGCCATGGTCACGGCCCTGCGTAAGCTGCACGCTGGCAAGGTGCGCGAGGACGGCCGCGTGGAGATCCCGCACCTCGACGGTCACGCCAGCCCGGGCGCCGACGGCCTGGAGCGCGTCTCCGAAATCATCAGCTTTGCCGAGACAGGTGGGTCCGGCCCTTGCTCGGCTAGCCGCAGCCCGCGCTCTCTTCCTCCCTCCCTCCCCTCTCCTTGCCAGCTCCAGCCTCCGCCGCAGCCCGCGAGCCGGGGGCAATCCTGACTCCCGGCCGGGCCCGTCCGGCTGTGGCCCTGCGCATTCCGCCGGGATTGCAATCCTTTTCCCCCAGGCCGTAGACCCCTTTCTGTTCCCCCCATTCCCGCCGCCGAGCACTCTGCCCTCCACCCCTGCTCTCTGGAGTCGGGCCCCAGCGCCTCTGGGCGCGCGTCCCCCTCCCGGCAGATGCGTGCAGCCTTGGCTCTGCGGGCACTTGCTTGGTGATTGCTTAATGTTTTTGTTTCCCACGATCGGAGTGTAGGCTTAGCAGAGTGGATGGAGATGTGTGTGCTTGTTGATATACGTGGGCCGGAGGAGAGAGAGAGAGAGTGTGTGTGTGTGCGCGTGTGTGTGTGTCTGCGTGAGAGGCCCCTGGGGCCGCTTCCATCGCCGGGTGGCGTGGGCTTGCCAGGATTGCTGAAGCCTCGCTGGGAAGAGCTAGGCAACCTCTCTTCCGATTGTGTGGGCACCAGAATCGGGCGGAAGGCAGGATTCTCAACAGGTCCATCATTTACCGAGAAAGACGCGGCTCGGGGACAGTCCCGTGCCTTTCGGCTTGCCTGGCAGCGGCGGCAGCCCCCTTACCCGAGAGCCACAGAGTTCGTAGTTAACAAAGGGTAGGACTCCTTTCTGGAATTTTCTCTCGGCCCCACATTGCAAATCTTTGCCATTGTTTAAATATAAAAATCAGGGAGATAAAAATCTTTGGGAACTTTAAAAGAAGGAGAAAATGTGCCCGCGCTGAAATGCTGCAAGTGCTTTCGACTCTGCTGTCCTTTTCAGGACTTGAATGAACCAGACTGGCTTTTGTGCCTGGAGCTCAGCCCCATTTGTGCCGAGGGGACTGCAGAGAAGGTCGCAGAGGGGGAGACCCCGGTGTAGTCAGGGCGGGGGCAAGCGGGGGTGGGGGGGAGCAGTTTTGCCCCTGGCTGCAAATGCCCCCCTCCCCACCCCCAGCCAGCAGGCAGACTGTGCTGGTGCCGCTTGGGGATGAAAAGGGATGAAAAGTTTTGCATGGCCGGGTGTGGAGAAAAGCAGAGACAATCGGGGCTGGTTTGTGCTTAGAAAGAAATGCATTGCCGTTTTAGCTGTCCGCTCGAGTCAGGGAAAGCTCCACACGCAATTAGAGGGCTTGGATTAAAAGGTGCTTTGGGGCCCAGGGTGGAAATGTGATTCTGGAAGGTTGAGGAGGCCTTTTGGTCCTGGTGGCACAAAATGACAGCGGGGGCTGTTATATTTCTGGTCCGATTCACGGAGCCAGCTCTTTGACTTATAAATAACAGATTCAGGTCACAGGCAGCTCGTCCAAGACCAGCTTTTAAGGCTGCAGTTTCCCCCATTTCAAAGTCAGATGTCAGTGTTATTAGAGGAGCCAGGCAAGGCCTGAGGAGGGGGCTGGGGAGGGGGCCGTGGTGGGAGGTTTTATGAAACCAGCCATGGCCACAGAGTTGCCTTATTTGTTCTTTCTGGAAAAAAAAAAGAAAGAAAAAAGTAGAGATTGTCAGAGTAAGGGTCACTGTAATGTAGGTTGAGAGGGGAGGCATCTCTTGGTTGGCACAGCGACTCTTCTCTTTGAGCTGAATTATGGAGAAAACTAACAAGCCAGGCCCCTTTTTCCTTGGAGATTTTGAACACGCCATTAATGGGGAGCCAGGATCTTGTCAAAGGATTGGACCTCAAGTTTCAAGGGTGAATGTCCAGTCCCTTGGAGCTACTCGGAAACAGGGGCTGCAGTTTGCAGTCCGCAAAGCACACGTTTCTGTGTCAGAAATTTGAGCAGAGCTTGCTGTTTGCAGTGGAAGTTCCACTGGGGTTGGATCAGATCATGCTTAGGTAAACACTGGAAAGAGGCGGTAGGTGGCTCAGCTCGATTTTGCAATGCCCTACGTTAACCAAAAAAAAAAAAAAAATCCGAAAATCCCTAATAAAACAACCCACCCCAAAATCCACCCTGCAATCCTGGTTTGGTTTTTCAGATTTTGCAGATACCCATAACAACTTGTTAAGATCTTGGCCTCCTGACAAGTTCCTCTGTTGAGCTTTGAGGCCTGACAGCCTGTCTCCGGGGAGCCCTGGCCTGGGAGAGGTGAGGCAGGATTTTATAGGTCCGGACCCTCCAGCTCCAACCAGGTCCGGGTTTCTCAATGGGAAATGATTTTCTCTGCCTCTCCCAGGTTACAGTCAGAGGCCCTGGCCCCAGGAACAGTATTTCTGGTCTGTAACGTTTTCCAGCTGTGTGGCGAGTATGCATTCCAGCACCGTGCAGCAGAGTCCATTTCCCCCATTGCCTCGTGTTCTCCTTGAATTAACTTGGCCCGCTCTCCCCTTCTCCGCAGATGGCCTCGCCTCCTCCCGGGTCCGCCTGTACTTCTTTATCTCCAACGAAGGCAACCAGAACCTGTTTGTGGTCCAGGCCAGCCTGTGGCTTTACCTGAAACTCCTGCCCTATGTCCTGGAAAAGGGCAACCGGCGGAAGGTGCGTGTCAAGGTGTACTTCCAGGAGCAGGGCCATGGTGACAGGTGGAACCTGGTGGAGAAGAAGGTGGACCTCAAGCGCAGTGGCTGGCACACTTTCCCGCTCACGGAGGCCATCCAGGCATTGTTCGAGCGTGGTGAGCGGCGCCTCAACCTGGATGTGCAGTGCGACAGCTGCCAGGAGCTGGCCGTGGTGCCAGTGTTCGTGGACCCTGGTGAGGAGTCACACCGGCCCTTTGTGGTGGTGCAGGCCCGGCTGGGTGACAGCAGGCACCGCATTCGCAAGCGAGGCCTAGAGTGCGACGGCCGGACCAACCTCTGTTGCAGGCAACAGTTCTTCATCGACTTCCGCCTCATCGGCTGGAACGACTGGATCATCGCGCCCACTGGCTATTACGGGAACTACTGTGAGGGCAGCTGCCCGGCTTACCTGGCAGGGGTCCCCGGCTCGGCCTCCTCCTTCCACACGGCTGTAGTGAACCAGTACCGCATGCGGGGCCTGAACCCTGGCACGGTGAACTCCTGTTGCATCCCCACCAAGCTGAGCACCATGTCCATGCTTTACTTCGATGATGAGTACAACATCGTCAAGCGGGACGTGCCCAACATGATTGTGGAGGAGTGTGGCTGTGCCTGATGGTGGCAGGCAGGGGCATGGCAGTGGGGCACAGAGGACAGCCTCTAGGGAACAGGGATGCACTGCGGGCTGAGCGAGTTCATTCCGTTGGGCTGCAGAGATAGTGCCAGGGTGAGGCCTGCAATATTTTTCTACTTCATAGAGCAACCAGTCTCCAACCAGAGTGAGAACCTGCAACTGACATGAAATACTTTAAAATGCAAACGTAGCCATGCACAGCCAGACGCATCCTGCCACCCACACAGCAGCCTCCAGTATACCAGCAAATGGATGCGGTGACAAATGGCAGCTTAGCTACAAATGCCTGTCAGTTGGAGAGAATGGGGTTAGCAGCCACTATTCCCACCAGCTGGCCCGGCCACTCTGAATCACGCCTTCCAAGCACACATAAAAGCACAAAGACAGAGACACAGAGAGAGAGAGAGGGAGGGAGAGTGCCACGGACAGGAGACCCAGACGGGTGGGGAACGTGCGGGCAGGCAGAGGGCTGCATGTCCCCTTGGCTTGTACCAGGCCTGCTCTGAGACCTCAGCATCTCCCAGCTCAAACATGTCTGCTTTCTCTGCTGCGTGGGATCCTTCATGCTCTAATGCCAGAGGAGCCTGTCCTCGTAGAGAGAAGGAGGCCCATAAAGGACACAACCTGTCAGAGACCATGGAGCAGGGGCAATGACTACTTGACTGTCACTGGGTCCCTGATATGACTTGTGTGTGTGTTTATTTTGGGGATTGGGAGGGAGAGGAGAGGGGTCTTAATTTGATGCTTTAACTGATCTCCAACAGTCTGACAGGTCATTTGTGTCAGTTGTTTATCTGAAAAGGGACTTTTTTTTTTTAACCAGGTAATGACCTTTTAAGTTAAAATCTGAATTGTTCTAAATGGGAAGGAAAAAAGTTGCAATCTCTGCCCTTCATTGGGGACATTCCTCTAGGACTGCTTGGGGGAGGGATGGGAATGACCCCCAGGCAAGGGGATGAGCCCAGAGAAGGACGTGGTGGGGTGGAGGCATTCTGGAAATGCTGGGGTTGGGTGGGGTTCGGGGGAAGGGTGCCCTCTCATTAGAGGGTGAGGGAGGGGAACAGCTTAGCTGGTTTTGGTGAGATGGGGAAGTCTTGCAGCTGCTTTGCAGAAGTTGCCCATGTGGGCCTGGGCCACTGGGGCCAGCCATGGACCTGGCCCCTGCCCTCTCACTTGCCCACCTGCCCGCCCCGCATAGCACTTGTGGACCTGCCTGAACGCACATGACATAGCACTTGCCCATCTGCGCGTGTCCAGAAGTGGCCCTTGGCAAAGCACTGAACTCGCTCACCCTCTAGGTGTCCAAGTGCCACGTGAACTATGCAATTTAAAGGGTTGACCCACACTAGATGAAACTGGACTCGTATGACTCTTTTTATATTTTTTATACTTGAAATGAAATCCTTTGCTTCTTTTTTAAGCGAATGATTGCTTTTAATGTTTGCACTGATTTAGTTGCATGATTAGTCAGAAACTGCCATTTGAAAAAAGAAGTTATTTTTATAGCAGCAAAAAAAAAAATGAATACAGTTAAATGTATTATACATAATTTTGGAACCAAAGAGGCCAACAGATCAGTTTTAATTTTTATTAGATGGTGAGGCCATCTTGTGAGAGGTAGACATTCTGAACAATCCCTTGAGTGGCCTGCCAGCGTTTCAGGGTATAAATGGATTTTGTTTATCTGGTTTGATGTGTCTTTTCTATCCTTACACACCCAGAAGGTAGAGTAAAAATGACTATAGTAGAATGCAGGTGTGTATCCTTAAATCCCCATCTTTATGTTTATTTAATAAAGCTCCCCTTAGGTTCTGTTTCATAATAATTTAAAACCAAACAATTTTCCCATAGACTTGCTGTTAAAGTATTCTACGTCTGTGTACAGTTTAAGAAAATAAAAGATTGAGTGCCATGGGCTTCCTGCTTTGTGTGGTGTCTGGGGTGGTGGGGCCCGGGAGGAGGGTGCGTCCAGGTGTCCAGCTTTGGCGCCAGCAGCCTCCACAGCTCGCCCCTGGCACTCTCTGGGTCCTTGCCATGAAATGTATGTCAGTCAGAGATTCTAGGAAAAATGGCAGAAGATCAAAATGAAGGACAATTAGCAAATTCATGAATTACACATTTGTTTACCCTTCTAATCCCAAGACTAATTATGTTTCACCAAGGCCGCATCTTTTTCCATTTGAAAGTGCTGGGTAAGCCCCCACCCCTAGAAGGAGGTGTAAAACCCAGGAGGTTGGAGCCCATCTCACCTCTGCTCACCTCCATATACTAGTATAGGCAGCTAGAACCCAGAAGAGGCTTCATATCTTGGGATAGAAAGGTAAACAGAGGCAAGGCCATGAACACAATAATTCTTTCCTGTGGGGGGTTTAACTGGTGGAAAGTGGGGGTAGGAGGTGGTGGCAGTAGTAGCAATAGCCCAGCTGCAACCACAGGTATGACTCGAGATACCTATAAGTTCTGTTAGGGCCCAGCCCTTATATCACACCTTTGTGGGAAATGGTTTTATCTTCATTTTCCAGAGTTTAGAACCAGAGGCTTAGAGAGTTCAGGGCCTGCTTGAGGTCACATAGTCAGGATAAGGACACTGGGCATTGGGGGCCAAGTGCCACGGTGGCCTGCCTGTTCCCTGGGAGGACTGCAGCTCAGGGCCTTGCCTTTGCCTGGGGCCCTGTAGGGCCAGTGGGGCTCTACCCTGGGACTTGGTCTTCCCAGCAGATTTTGGAACATTTGAGCATGTGGGACTTCAGGGATTATCTAACCCCATTAAGGTAACAATGGGGAAACTGAGGGAGGCCAAGACAGCCAATTCACACAGCCAGCTGGTGGTAGGAGGCAGGCTTCCCTCCTTTTTTTTGTTCTTTGCCCAACCAAGAGAGCTACTGCTCTGCTCAGCCTTCATCCTGAGGGGTGGATTTGTTGATCCATAAAGTTGTGGAACAGTATAAAAATTCACAGGAGCCAAGAAGAAAATGTCACAAAGACAGGTTTGGCCCAGGCATTTTGGGAGTGAGTGCCCTCTGCCTTGCAGTGGGCAGGGCCCAGCTGCTGGCTGCTTCAGGCCCTCAGCCCAGCCCTGGCCTCACCCGCCCCAGGACTTCTTTGCAGGCAGCAGCCAGGAGGGGCAGCATGAGAGTCCCCAGAGTTGCCTCTGTTGCTTGGATACTGAACACCTACTGGTGCTCTCCCGGGGCTGAGCTTCACAGGACGGGCCCGAGCTTCACAGGACAGGTCCATGGGTCTTGCAGTAGCCCCTGGAAGGGCCTGGAACTCCAAGGTCATGAGGCCAGTAGTCCCTGAATGGCTGTCTGCTGCCCTATGCTGGCATGTATCCCTGTGGGTCTGGCTGGCCTCCCTGGGGCACTGGTGGGAAGTAATTCCTATTGCTGAGGACAGGTGCTCGTCCCCTGCCTGAGCTGGGTGTTTTCCCTCCAGGGGGGCCCTGCAGCCTCCTGTGCTTCCTGTGGTCACTGCCTCCTGCCCTTCTTTTCTCGCACAATGCTCCAGCCTTTCTTCCTGTTGCTCTTTTTCCATTCTCTACCCTTATGCTCCCTAGCAGGCCTGGCCTAAGGCCCCCCCCTGCCCCTGGAGGCCCACACTGCTGGCCCAGAGAGCCAGCAGCCCACTCTGTCCCCCAGGACCAGCACCTCTGGTTGAAATGTCCCTGCTGGACTTTAGGGTCCCCTCCCCTCCATCCTTCTGCCCTTCCCTCCCTCCCTCCCTTCTGGCTTCTAGGCTGTTAGCCTCATGCTCATCCCAGCCAACCTGGACCAGTGGGACAGGCATGGCCTGCCAGACCCAAAGGCTGCCATCCCACCCACCTTAAATGTCTCTCCTACCCATCCACTGTGATGCCACCATGTAGGGTTCAAACATGCCCTGAGTCCTCAGTGACTCAGTGGAATCTAAGGTCTGGGTGGGGGGACCGGGAAGGGGGACTAGGGAAGGCTCTGGAGTGAGGACAGCGCCCACACTTGCCTCCCCTCTTTCCCCCCATTTTCCAGATAGGCAAAGAAGCCAGTACTCAGAGGCCCCAAGGGTGTCTCTGTCTGTGTTTTCTTTTCCAGCCCTCTCAGGGCCCGTCTTAGAGTGGGGCACACAGGGGCTCCCTGTGGCCCAGCTCAGGGTTGAGAGCAGCATTCAGGAAGAGCTTTATACCTGTTGCCTGTGACATGATGTGATACCATTGCCAGGGGCCCTACTACAGCTCCAGGCAAGGGCCTGGGAGAGGGACTTGGGCAACTCCTATATCGTGGCTGGGCCCCTGACTGGCCTGGAACTCAGGCTGGCCCAGTGCCAGGCCTACCAGGCCCTCCACAAGGCCCTATGGGAACTATCGCTGGGGATGCCCAAGGGGACTCTAAGTAGGCCAGTCTCACCTTGGAGAATCCTGCAGCCACCCAGACCTCCTGTAAGGACCAATGGCCAAGAGCTGGGACAGGAGACTGGGAGGAAGTGGGGGATGGCAAACAGGGTAGGGGGTGGGGAGGTCACAGGCTGCCGCCAAGCCACGGAGACTGCTATGGGCTGAAGGAAGTGTGACTTTGCAGGCAAAGCAGCAGAAACAAAGCACCCTTCCTGTGGGCAGAAACCCTGGGAGCTCCCCCAGCCCAGTTGCTAGGCTTTCAATGGGATGTTTTGAGCAAATGACAAATTACCTGGTGGGCTTTGCAAGAGTGGCTAGGGTCTGCTGGGTGTGAGGCATGGGGCATGCGTGGGCTGGGCGAGGAGGCTCTGTGCGGTATGGGGGCTGCGGGCCAGCAGGCATGTGTGTGAGGCAGTGTGTGTGCAGGGGGTGGGGACAGCTGCTAGTGGGTGTGGACAGGGAATTGCTGATGAGGGTGTGTGGTGTACTGTTTGGCAATTGTAGGTGTGACTGTATGCTGAGCCGTGCGGGGCTCAAGACTGGGATTGTGTGTGTGCGGTTGGCCCGGTGTGAGTTTGGAGTGTGGAGTTGGCTATTTCTGAGGCTGTGAGGTTGCGTGGGTGAGTGTGTATGTGTGTGGGTGAGTGTGAGACCAAGTGTGGGGTTTGAGACTATGTGATCGCAGGGTTGGGGCTGCATGGCTAGCTGTGTGCATTTCTTGCCGTTTTCATTTTCTTTCTTAACAAGAGGTGATGCACCTGACCGGTTATGTACCTTGTGACTGGGTAGTTATATTTTAAAATTTGGGCTATTGCAGGGAATCTCCCTTGCTGTTAAAATCTATGACCACCCTCGTGCCTGGCAAGTGCTGGGCAGGCTGGGCTGGGCAGTCATTTTTGTGGCCCGCCCAGCTGCCCTCAGTGTGGTTTCACAGCCCCTGCTGCCCTACTCTGGCCACCCAGTGCCAGGGGTCACCATGGTGTCTCTGTAGCCTCGAAGCCAGAGCACTTTAAAAGTGGAAAGGTGCCATCTAGTCATCCAGTCTCTCAGCAAACGTTTCCTGCGTGCCTGCTGTTATGAGCCGGGCGTTCATGCATCATCGCAGGTTAGTCCTCACCACGACCAGGGGCTGAGGAGGAGCAGGTGTCATTATTCCCATCATACGGATGAGAAAGCCAATACTGAGAGCAAGGAAGCCATTCACTGAAAGCTGCACAGCTCATAAGTAGCAGAGCTGGGATTTGCCCCCAGGCGACTGTTTCCAGAGTCACTCACAGCCCGCTGAGCTCTGGAGGGAGGGCGAGGAGAGGGCTGGCTGTTCTGGAGTCTGCCTAGAAGAGAAGGAGGCTGGGACTCAGGGTTTTCTCGGTGTTCATTGAGAGGGGCCTGCTCCCCCACTCCTGCCCCTGACTCCAGCCTGTGGTGTCAATGGTGACCATGCATTGACCTGTTCCTTGCCCTGGTTGAGCCATCCATGCACCAAGCCCACTCTCTCCCTGGCGAGGTGGGTGGGATGGCTGCCAGGCCCAGGGTTCTGGGGCCAGTGGGGGGACAGGCTGTGGATCGAGAGAAGCGGAGCAGAGGCAGGAAGCCAGTGGCCTTGCCTCTGGCCCTTTGATGGTGAAGGAGGCAGTCTAAACAATCTTCATGGTGAATATTCCCCGGGAGCCTGGGCTAGGGGTCAGCCTGCCTGGCTTTGTGATCCCGCCTGGCCTACCCTCTCAGGGTCCTCATCTGTACAACAGGGACGATACCAGTGCCTAACTCGGGGTTGTTGTGAACATTAACATGCTTGGAACAGGGCTAGGCCTTGGTGTGGTTTTGCAGTTGCTGTTTTCCAGCATATTCTCTGTGTCAGAAGAGTTGCTGAGTGCCCAGCCAGAGCCCCACCCTCCCCCTGAGAGCCTGTCTCTGAAGCACACCTCCTTCATTCCCAGTTATTCATTCAGTGAATATTCACAGAAGCCATGTGATGACGATGACATTAGCTAACATTTATTGAGAATTTACTGCTTCACAACACCATCGAGTTAATCTTTACAAACTTCCTGTTGGTCAGGTGAGGTGTGCCCATTTTACTGATGAGGAAATTGAGGCTCAGGGAAGTTGTGTGCTTTGCTCTAGGCCTCATAGTCATTCAAGGGGAGGAAACGAGCCTGTGGCCTTCCAGATGCTGTCTTCTCTCCTTTCAATGTTCCGAAGAGAAACTCAGGGGACCTTGAGCCCCAGGGGACTGGGGGAAAGGGAGGAAAAGGCAGGAGGGAGAGCTGCTGTAAGGGTAGCAGGGACCTGGGGGCTGCTGGGTACATCCTAGGGAGACCCTAAGCTTCCCTCTTACCCCATCCCATCCCCACAGGGGGCATCTGAGGGTCTATCTACCTCCAGAATCAGGTGTGTGCCTTCCTGGAGGTCCACTCTTGTGAGCCAGAATGGGGTCCTGTCCGAGGTCATCATAGATCCTTGGAGAACTTGATGGGAGTGAGGATGCACTAAAGTTCTGAGAAAGTGCACAGGGACCACATTTTCAAGCGGGATTTCAAAGAAGGGTTTT